TAGCCAATCAGAATCCATCCTGCTGTAACGAACTCAAGAATTTAAAGCGGTAGACGAGCGTGCACTTAGAATAAACAGACGATATCGTTCGCTAGTGTGGACTCTAATATCGTTATCTTTATAGTTATCGTTCTTGGTGTGGAGTACGAAATTAATGTTAATGTGATTTGAGACGAGGTCGGTGAGAGCGCGCTCAGATTGAGTTTATGCACACGGCTGAAGTCACATGACCCGCGGCGTCCAATCACAGGTCAGCGTGAGTTTGTGTTGATGCACCTGGTGCGTAATCAGGATCACGGGCTTTAATTAATAATGTGTTTTAATCAAGCGGGAACCTCCCGCTCTCTCTGGTGAAGCCAACACGGAAGTGACTTAAACTGTAATTCATCAACTGGCCGCTAGAGGCTGGCTGCAAAAGGGAGTCAATCCCATAGACTCCCCATGTTAAAATGCCCAACTTTACAGCAGAAAAAAACATGTTTACAGCCTGGTTCAAAAAATTATTTTGGTCTCGGACACTACGTCCATGTTTTTATACAGTCTGTGGTTTAAATAAGCTGCAGCAGAACACATGATGAGATCAGGAGGAATGACTGTGATTGATCAGCGCTGTGGTGAATCTGATCACTCATGATCAATCAATCCGTCTCTGACCCATACACACACTCTGTGTTTGATTGATTACAGTATTGATGCGATTGGAAACACAAGTGTTGATTTGTAGAGTTTTTGGCTTCTGATGTGAAGCTTTAACATGTTGAGTTCATCTTCACCTGCTTTAATACATGTACAAAACAATAGCTGAATTACCGCGGTACTTCCGTGTTTTGTGGACAGTTTGAGGTTGTAAATACCTGATTAAGGTAATCAATCAGTACCATGGTATAGAAGTACTTTACCAGCACTGTACCGTAGTATCACCACAGTACATTATGTAAGAGTAGACGGAGATCTGAATACAAATGTTTGTATATATTTTGTGTGTGTGTAGTATTTTTGTATTTATATATATTTTTATTTTTGTATTTTTATACAATTAAATATATATATTATTAATTATATTAATTTATATATATATTAATTTATATATTTTTTTTTTCTAGTGTATTCAAACATTAATATAATTTTTGTATAAATATAGTGAATTTTTTATATTTTACATAATCTCATCTATATATCATAGCTATTTGAAATATAAAGTAATGAAAAATATATAATTATATAAATAATAAAATAACAGTTTTTCTTTAAAATTGACATTTGAAATTCAAATAATAATTATTTATTTATTTATTTTATTTAAGCAATAATCATAAATTAATAAATTCATATAAAATAAAATATTTAAAATTGACTACTTTTTTAAATTATTGACAGTTGAAATTAAAATGCAAACATAACTCTCTTCATAAATGAATTTATTTCCTGTGTAATTCCTGATTGGTCAGTGCTTTAGTATTTGAGTCTAATGACTTTAAACTGTATAATTGATCATTGACTCATTAATTTCTCTTGTTGCTCGTAGAATATTCAGTATTTCATGTGTGTGTGAGTTTATTTATTTGTTAAGTAGTCATAAATAAAAATGATGTGCATCCAGAGGGTCAGTATCACAAAATGAGCAGCTGATTTTATATCATCTGAAGCCTCATGGTTTCTCAAATCCGTCCGAATATGAATGTTTTCTGAACTCTACAGTAAGATGCTTTTCCCGCGTCAGTCTGTTGAGTTTCTGCTTGGCCGACGTTCGATCTGAGCAGCAGCAGCGTTTGAGTTTTTCTTTCTTCTTGAGAAAAATCTGAAGCGAGTAAATTGTGTGACTCCTGACGGCCGCTCTCACCGTCTCCGGCTCTTTTGAGGAGTTTTTCCAGAGCTATTCATTACAAAATCAGCTTAATGAGAGCAAAGCGCATTAGTGGCTCCCGCCGCTGCAAACGACTGAAAGATGGAGCGATTTGTTGGCTCTTTAGAGAGCGGCTTAAGCCGAAGCTGTTTGTTCTGATCCTCGGCTTTCTGACATTTCCCTCCAAAGGGTTTTCCTGCCGGTTTTATTGGCTTGACCTGATTAGCTAATCTGTGCTTTGAATTTCAATGGCTCCTCGGGCCGCTGGGAACCGGATTACCTCATTCAGCGGTCCTCAAACACAGATGGCCGAATGTTTAACCGATTGTTAAAAGAGTCGACAAAAGGGAGTTTAACGGAGCACACGGTCTTTAAGCTCAATGCATGCAGAGGAGTAAAGAGAGATGCTCCTGTGTTGATGTTGTGATGCTGATATTAAATCGATGTCGTCTCTTCTTCTTCTTCTCCTCAGAGTCTGTGCTCGACGGCTAGCGTGCAGACGGTGAGATCCGCCGACACCAATGAAGTCGACAAACTCATCTTCAGAGAGTCAGACAATGACCGCAAGGTGAAGCCTTTCACTGCTTCATTTAGTCATCAAACATATATGTTCAACCAATGGGCCTATATATAAATGTATATCTCTATCTATCTATCTAGATACACACACACACACACACACATATATATATATATTACCAGTCAAACATTTCTGAATAGTGATATTTTTAATGTTTTTTAAAGAATTATCTTCTGCTCACCAAGTAATGATGCTGAAAATACAGCTTTGATCACAGAAATAAATTACAGTTTAACAGATATTCACATAGAAAACAGTTATTTTAAACAGTAAAAATATTTCACAATTTTACTGCTTTTGCTGTGTTTTGGATCAAATAAATGCAGGCTTGCTGAGCAGAAGATAATTCTTTAAGAAATCTTACTGTTGAAAAACTTGATATACTTTTTGCTGATGACTTGGTCATTCTTGATCATTTTGTGATCTGTCTGTGTGCGAAGGTTGGTGTGTTTTACAAGGGTTCACTTACTTTTTCCTCACGCGTCAGTTGAAGATTTTTAATCTACTACAGGCTCCTCCATAATTTGGTGTAGATCTGTTAAACATAAAGGTTTTTATTATACACTACCATTCAAAAGTTTAGGGTCAGTAGGATTTTTTTTATGAAAAAATATTCTCTCTTGCTCACAGAGGCTGCATTTATTTGATCAAAAATACAGTAAAAATTGTGAAATATTATTCTAATGTAAAACAGCTGTTTTCTATGTGAATATCTGTTAAACTGTAATGTATTTCTGTGATGCGCAGCTCTTAACACATCCTTGAAGAATAAAAGGAGTCACTTCTTTAAAAAAGTAATCTTATTGACCCCAAATTTTGAACCAGAGCCAATGTCATACACTTTATTTATAATATTAGCTCTCATTGGTTTCTGCTGTTAAAGTGTGTTCGCTGAAGCTAATGAAGATCTGTGTTTGTTCTCTGTCCTCTCATAGGTTGTCCTCCAGCTGGAAAAGAAGTTGTTTAACTACATTAACCAGGACGTTTTCCGGGAAAACAATGGAACGCTGGTAAGAGACTCAATCCTGTTTAAATGCCTCATAACCGTGTGAATGTTTGACTTCTGTCTTCCTGAATGAGACGCTTTGATGGAGATGAACTTCGATGAACTTCGATGAACTTTATGAATTAAGACGATTAGCGGCACACTGGATGTCACTGTGGATACAGATGTTATGATGGAGAGGTCAGACCTCAGCCGTGTGATCTTGTGCTTATAAAGAGACGCATTCACAAAATACAAATAATTGATCACATTCCATTTCCATGCAGCATTTCAATTTAGTACAGTTATTTGAAAATAAATAAATAAAATAAAATAAATATTAAATAAGTAAAGATGTAAACAAAAACGTTAATTAAATAAAAATAAATAAATAAATAAAAACTTTTTTTTAATTTTTTTTAGTTATTTCAGTTAATGTTTGTTTTTTAAATGTGAAATGAGCTCATAATCTGACAGTATGAGAGGAGTGAGGATTGTTTTCCAACGTTTGTCTGTCTATTCTTTCTCAAAATTACCAAGAGAATCATTAACAGGAGCATGAAGGAGCTGAAATCGTTAGTGGATTGGTGTGTGTGTGTGTGTGTGTGTGTGTGTGTGTGTGTCCTGCGCCTCGACTCCCAGCATCCTTCATCAACGACTAGAGTTGTACCGGCTTGACAGAAATTTAATTCGAGGCAGCTCTTGAAAATAATTATTGTATTTTGAAAGGAGTAATCATTGGTCAGGACATGATTGAATACGTCCATGCCTATTGACTTTTGCCATGATTAATAGGTTTGTTTAGTCAATATAGCCATCGAAACTGTATAATTAATTATCCGAGCGGCTGTCAGGCGGGGAGGATGGAGCGCTCTGATGAGGATTTGGGAAGATTACATTTTCCACTGGGCCCGTGTGTGTGTGTGTGTGTGTGAGAGACACCTCCATAATGCTAACTCTCATTGATTTTGCTTCAGTGTCTCTTTATTGAAACTTTATCAGGTGGATCCGAGTGGAATCTGGAGCGAGTGATGAACTTCTCCGTCTGCGCTCGTCATGCGGGCCGCGTACACGCGCTACATCGCTCAAACCGCAGTTTTTAAGAGTCCGAATAAATAAATAAATAACGCGAGGCTCTCATCCGACATGTGCCATATTTCAGCTGTCGTTCCCGCCGAGGCGTCGCTAATCAAAGCAGACTCAAGGAAACGCCGCGCGCATGAGAATCTGCTCACATCGTGCTTTTATCAGTCTGATATTGGAAACAGATCTGCGTTTTCTGTACATTATTATAGTTTGAGGTCTGATTTCACTTGTTAAGTCAGGTTTACTGATATAGTGCTTCACATAATACAGATTCATTCACAGCAGAAACAGGAAAACCAGCATCAAAGACGCAAAGTTCTTCAATTTCAAGTATCAGTCATTTCAGTTATGATTGAACTATAAAGCAGCTTTAATGAAGATTATATTGACTGAAAAATATTTGTGAATGTTGTAAATAAAAGAAAGAATATTGGAGTGAGTTTTACAAGAAAATGCCATTTCACTGTTTCTAATTCAAAATTTCACACGTTTTTTTTGCCTTTTCTTTGTAATTAATTTGCGAAATTTACTAGCAATACATGAGTAAAAATTGTTTCTGCACAGTGTAGTGACATTAAGTTTAATTATTGTATAATTATGCTGTTTCAAGGACCGCTTAATCAATACATTTTACTGAATATCAATTGTCTTTAAATTGAAGACCATTAATATTCAGTCAAATTGATCAGATTAGAGTAATGTTTTAATGCCGTTTTTTCTTTCCTTTTAAAAACAGTATAATATTGATTATTGACCATAGCATAAAATATTTAGCTCTTATTTCATCTGGGTTTTATATTTCAGTGCATCGCTGGTCAGAGCATTTCTGAACACCAACTAATGATGTTTATTCAATCTTTTTTCATTATAGTCAATCGACTACAGACAACTCTTAAATATAAAAGACCTAAAATGCAAGACAAAAAATTGTAAAGAAAGATATAAAGACAAATTACAGATGCACACTCTGTTCCTCTATTCTTCAGTTTCAGACATTTGAGCACCAAAATTGCAGTGAATGAAAAACCAGTTTATTGCAATATTTCTGAGTGAAGCTGCTCGTGTCGAGGCTGTAATATTTGATTGGCTTTAGTTTTTGAGCATTGATGATGTGTTAGTGAGAGATGAATGCTGCACTCAAAATAATGCATTTGTCATAAATAGTGTGAAAATATGGCTGCTGCGATGAAAGTAAAGTGTGTGGTGTAAAACTCGAATTAAAGCACCTCTCACCCCGGCTCTTATCGATGGCCTTTAATGGCATCAGCTGTTGTCAGAGCTGTTATTTGACCGTACATAAATCAATGCACAATTACGGCAGGAGACGCCGATCGGCCCAAACCACACGTGGCTCTGTGATTTAGGACTGTCTGTGTTTATTGGGCTGAGGTGGTGTTTTGGAGGAGTTTGTTTGTTTTATTTATTTTCGTCTGCTTCACAAACACACATGCTCAAGGTCACCGGCGCTGACGGATCGTGAGCGGGACGAGACGGGTTTTACTGCTGGCCCACCAGAGCAGCAAATCACTCGGATTAATTGACCTGCAAGAAATGTAGTGTGAAATTTCAGCCCGCGGGTCTCTAGCTGCTAAATGAATTGCTCAACATTCACACACACACATGCACATAAACACACACACACGTGTGTCATAGCTGTACTTTGACTTTCCCTTTTCACTGTGAACAGCTGTAGAATTAAAATTTCAGCATATATATATATATATATAGAGAGAGAGAGAGATGGGTAGATTACTTACTAATGTAATGTAATTGTTATCTGTTACTGATTACAAATTACATGATGAAAATTCAGTAATGTAATTCAGATTACTCATTTTAGGTAACGTATTCTGACTACTTCTGGATTACTTTTGGATTACTTGTAGGGATGGGCGATATGGGCTTTAAAATATATCACGATATTTCTGGTATTTATTGCGGTAACGATATCAATGCCGATAATTCAGGGAATCCTGTTTCTTTAGAGAAAAGTATTATCTTTCCTATTTTTACCCAAAATCGGGTGTTGTGAGCATTACTGAGTAGTACACATAATGTAATGACTGTTTAATTCATACTGGAAGCCAGAGGGCGCCCTTGCGCAGAAACTCCACATATGCATCGCAGAAGTAATAGCACTGACGACGCTCCAGGAAATCCCTAATATGGACAAAGGCATCCAGTATCGCTGAATAAAACGCAGATAAAGAAATTTTAACTGAGGAAACTTAAAGACAATAAACATGTGATTGCACAAATATATATGGTTCATCTGTGTTCTTCAAGCAATCTTGGGTATTTTTTATAAGGAAAGTATATTTATAATGCAATGCTAATCGATAGCCTTTATCACTGTATATAATACTATCATTCTGTAATATGAAGCCACGTCTGGTCACAAAAAGAAGTTATTTCAAACACTCAACTATGTTATTTTGGAGAAAAAGCATGTCAATAAATGATATCTTTGTTGGACAACAGGTTTGTAAACAGGCTCATACACATGCTACTGTATTGCACACATGCCACTGTAGTACATTTATTCAGACCAATTTTTTGTGCACTGTACAGCCCTAACCAATCCAGATTGTAGAAGGAGCTCCTCATTTAGTGATAAACTCCTCCTCAATTTCACTTCCACCTTCCGCGATGTTGCTCCGCACTGTCGCACACAGAAATATGTCAGCAACTAGACTTTATCGTTATTATCGCGGGAAGACTAATTCTTATCGTGGAGAGAATTTTTACCGGTATATTGCAAACAATAAGATATCGCCCATCCCTAATTACTTGTGACCATGTAATCAATTACTACCCAGCACTATATATATATATATATATACCATGGTCTGTCTGAATTAGGGATGCACGATATTATCGGACCAATATCAGAATCGGCCAATAATGGCTTTAAATGTAAATATCGGCATTGGCCCGATATAAAAAATATTGCCGATATGTCTTGCCGATAAGAGGAATACATTAACTCACATGTGCTCAGGGTGTGCTAGCGATTAGATCACGTCAGCATTGTGGCTCATTCATGAAGCAAAGTTTTGCCTGAATAATGATTGGATTCACTGTTTTGGATCGCTGCATTTAAACTGAGAATGCACGTACAGAATGCGTTCGGTGTGAGATAGAGTAAACCGTAATAGCACGTGCAGTGGCAGCCTCCCCCGGGTCCTAACGCCCGCTGAGTAAGGAGTTTTAATTCCGTAGGGGGCGCTGTTGGCCTACTTTTAATAAATCTTCAATGTACTGTCATTATAAAAGAACTTTATTATTGTTTATTTAATTCTAACAAATATGTTCTTGTTAAAAACTAACCAAAATTAAAAATAATTATATATCGGCTATCAGCCAAAATTAGTTGAAAATTATCGGCATATCGGATAATGGCAAAAATCCAATATCGTGCACCCCTAGTCTGAATACTCGATTCTGATTGGCTGGTAGGTATGCAGTAAAACCGCTAAATGCACACACACACACACACACACTTGTCAACGCTGCCCCGCAACTTTTATTAATAAAATAGCCTAGATACTAGATCTCTACATTATACATACCTGAAAACTAGTCTCTTTTCAGCAAAATTCACCATTTTTAATCAAAATATGTCATTTATGTGAATCGTCTAAATCCGAAGAGTTTGTTTTGGGGGGGTCGGGGATGAAAAGAGAGAGAGAAATTGCAAGCTCATAAACTAGAGTGACAACATAAGTGTGTTCGACCAAAGTCCCTTTCTTGGTTCGATTTGAAGCAGCAGAACGCAGACCGATCGCTGTATGACATCACAAGCTTTCGAATCACTCTCGCGGTACTGTGATGTCATAAAATGATCAGTCTGTGCGGCGCTGCTTCAAATCAAATACACCTCATCTCACAGCTGGTCCGTTTTGACGGCACACTTACGCTCACATCCGCATGTGAACATGTTGTCGGCGTGGAAGTTCTTCATTGTGAGTGAAGCAGACACAAAGTTCACAATTTGTAATACAATATTGACTGTTTTTGCTCAAGTTTGCTGACGAAGTTTCAATCAAAGCGACAGCAGAACTGTTGTGTCTCCCAGCAACACACAGTGGTTTTTTTATACTGAATGAATCCATATTTTTTAATTAATAAAGTGAGTCAATGGTTCAGTAACCCTTTTATAAAGACTGAATGAATCAGCCGTTTGAATGAATGACTAATGACTCGCTTATTAAAACCGTCATATACTGGTGGTTTGGTTTCATATTTAAAAGTACTGCATTTTTCCGAACATTTTTAATTTGTATGTTCAAAAATATTTAAAGCATTAATCTTATAAAATTATTTATGCATTTGAAATTTTGTAGTGTAAATGCATTTATGGCACCTCAGCTTCATCAAACAGTCTGTGTAAATACATCTAATGAACACACAACTGGCATCTCTCTTTTTTTCTCTCTCGATCCATAATGAATTCAAATAAATGCTATAATTCATTCAAATAAATGTGATCTTACAGCACTATTTAATCTCTGTGTCTGGTTTGAAGCAGGCAGAATGCTAGAGCTAACGAGCCATAACTGACGAAAATAATTCCGGTCAAATATTGCTCTGCGAAACATCATTAACAGCTTTAACTTGTAAATGCTGGCAAATGACCAAGGTATAAGAGGGATAATGCATGGCTACCTGCTTCACATCGGGTGGTTCTTGGCCTCCACGTCGTGCATTATCCCTTACATAAAATATTTTTCCATTCCCATTCATGCATTTAACAGTTGCAAAGTAACTTACAATAGAGGAGCAAAAGCAAGTCATCACAGAGCCAAAAATATTTGCATTATATAATGGCACGTTTATTAGAAAGCTAATAAAAATGTGTAAACTCATTACAGTAAAGACAATTTAGCAGGAAAATGTTTGTTTGTTTCTTTTTTTTTTCTTACATACAGTAGTACGTTTACATACAATACATTATATATGTATATATATATATTAGGGGTGTAGCGATACGCGTATTCGTATTGAACCTTTCGGTACGAGGCTTTCGGTTTGGTACGCATTACAAACCGAATGATTCGATTCATTGAAATAATCCTATTAGATTAATAATAATCCAGGAGCGCCATCTCTGGATGTGTCTGGCCGACATGAGGGACGCCAACAAAGTACGGTTCCTCAATGCCCCTATGTCCCAGACCGGCCTCTTCGGCGATGCGGTCGAGAGCTTTGCCCAGCAGTTCTCGGCTGCACAGAAGCAGACTGAGGCGATTTGTCACATCCGCCCCCCCCGTCCAGCTGCTGCCTCAACCCGTCGTACAGCCCCTACTTCATTGTACCCAAGAAAGGTGGTGGGTTACGACCAATCTTGGATATGCGTTTTGAACCGGGCCCTTCACCGATTACCGTTCAAGATGTTGACGCAGAAATGCATCTTCGGGTGCATCCGTCCCCAAGATTGGTTTGCAGCGATTGATCTGAAGGATGCATACTTTCATGTGTCGATCCTTCCGCACCACAGACCATTTCTGCGGTTCGCGTTCGAAGGACGTGCATATCAGTACAAGGTCCTGCCCTTCTGGCTGTCCCTGTCTCCCTGTGTCTTCACGAAAGTTGTGGAGGGGGCTCTTGTTCCCATCAGAGAGCAGGGTGTTCGCATCCTCAACTATCTCGACGATTGGCTTATACTAGCACAGTCTCGGGGTCAGTTGTGCGAGCACAGGGACCTGGTGCTCCAGCACCTCAGCCAGTTGGGTCTTCGGGTCAACTGGGAAAAGAGCAAACTCTCCCCGACGCAGAGGATCTCTTTTCTCGGTATGGAGTTGGATTCGGTCGACACTGAGAAGACCCCCGGAAATGCCCGATCAGGGTCGTGCTTTCCTTTTTGCAGCAAGGGTTGGAGTGAAGGCTGTCTCCCTCCACCCTTAAAGTCTATGTCGCTGCAATTGCTGCTAACCATGACCCCGTGGAAGGCAAGTCGGTAGGGAAGCATGACCTGGTCATCAGGGAGCCTTTGCAGTCAGTTGAGCAAAAAGTTTCTTTCAATGAAAACTCTGTTCCTGTTTGCACTGGCCTCCATCAAGGGGGTAGGGGACCTGCACGCATTTTCGGTCGACGATTCATGCCTAGAGTTTGGGCCGGCTGACTCCCAGGTAATCCTGAGGCCCTGGCCCGGCTATGTGCCCAAGGTTCTTACTACCCCCTTCAGGGATCAGGTAGTGAATCTGCAAGCGCTGCCCCTGGAGGAGGCAGACCCAGCCCTAGCTTTGCTTTGTCCTGTCCGAGCCTTGAAATGTTACGTAGACCGGAACGTCCGGCGCCAGGCCCTCACTCGATAAATCCTTGAGAACCGGTAGAGGGATTGGTTCCATATGTAGAGACCTAAGTGGATCCCATATGTGTAAAGTCCACAGTATAGCCTCAGAGCCCGTGTTTCCCCGGGTAGTGCTACGACAACAGTGACTGGTCTTCTTGCTGCTAGCCCCGGCCTACACCAAAAAGGGGTGCAGGCGGCTCGCACAGGACACTGGAAGGGGCAGCATCCATGGCACTTTGGTAGGGATCCCAATTCGTCAGTCTCCTACGTGACGTCACCGTTCCCTCCATCAGGGAACGAGGGTTACATACGTAACCGAAACGTTATCAGCATATGTTGAAGTAGATTGGTCTCGTCGTCTCTGAGAGAATAAGCGGCATCAGATGCAGAAAACCCCGTCATTACTCCGTCATTCCGTTTTTACTTTCACTTTCTGCAGTGAATTGACTAAGATTAAGACGTTCACCGGCATAACTCTTGAGCAATGTTTGCACTTTGCTTGTGTGATATCCATTGGCTCGCCTTCATGGTTTAAAACAGAACCAATCCCCAATATTATTGTTATTATTATTATTATTATTATTATTATTATTGGTGTGCAATTTGACCACTTCAAGTTTTCATGAATGCATGTTAAATATACCCTGCAACATCCAGTGGCTGTTGTAAATGCATGTGTGTCAGTGTTGCTGTGAAATATCTGTGTGTGTGTGCGTGCGTGTTATTTGCGACACTGGAAGTGTGTGTGTGTGTTGTATGTGACACTGGATGTGTGTGTGTGTGTGTGTTTATAAGTGATGAATGTTGTTCATATACCCTCCTGAACCACAGACACTGCTGAACACCTCACTGCTGCTCAAATAAACACACACACACACTCTCTCTCTCTCTCACTCACTCACACACACAGACACAAACACACTCTCTCTCTCTCACACTCACACGCACAGACACACACACAGGTTTATCTAAATAAGCACATGTCAAAGACTGTTAAAGCGAGTCATAATAACTACTGACTAACTCAAAAGAAAACCAGTCACTGTATTTATGAATCATGTTATACGGTATCTTTGAGGAGGTTTTGACACATTAAATTTGTTCTGGTGGCAGTTTCATACACAACACACACTGAATATCAGTCCTAATTAATTAAAAATGGAGCACTAATAAACTCTGAGTGTTTGTATCTGTGTTTATGTGTGATTATTAATTAGTCAGTGCTGGTAGCTGTCTGTCACAAACACACGCACACACACACACGCAGTGATGAAGGTGTCATGTACACCTGTTGATTATCTTCTCATAATTAATGTGTACACACACAGGCTAATTATTCTGCAGCGTTTGATTAATGACTGTGGAGTCGCAGAGTCTCAGACAGAGAGGACAGCTGGGAAATGATTGATGAACACACACGCCGCATGACACAGAAACTGACATACGTGTGCGTGAAACACACACACACACACACACACACAGGCAAACAGCTTCATCTGCTTCAGCTTCACATCATAACAGAGTTTTCTTACTGAGATCAGATGCTGCTGCTTTCTGGCTTCATTTAACATTTCTGTATGCAAATGACAATGCAAATGTGTGTGTGTTTTTGTTTGTGTGAGTGTTTGTGTGAGTGTTTGTGTGTGTGTTCTTCAGGGCAGGAAGTTGCTGATACTGTGTTGATATGTAAATGTGGGCGGTCTTATGTTAATGAGCTCATTGTTTATGTATTACACCTGCATTGACTCGCTCTCTGTTTCTGTGTGTTTGTCTCCAGCTCTTAGAGTTCGACAGAGAGCTGTCTGTGTTTAAGGAGCGTCTGCATGAGCTGGACATCTCGTTTCCTCCAAGGTACGAACACTAGGGTTGGGTTTTGACACAAATTTCACGATTCGATTCAATTCTCATTCACAAGTTTTCGATTCGATTACCAATTCGATTCGATTCAATATCGATTATTTTGGATATATATCAGGTACAGTACATGCCAAATTTTCTCAAGGAAAAAAAAAATCTCTCAACTAATGCTGTAAAATATACATGAGAGTCAGTTGGTAGGCTACTACATTACTATAATATTGAAGGTTAAAATGAATGAAGTTTTTACAATAATAAAGTTACAGTTACATAATAATATTTCTACTTCAATTTGTTTTTTTGAAATATAAACATTTTAAATGGTGGATGTCATAAAAACTTGATGGATTTATTCAAACATAAATTAAACATTGAAGAACAGTAAAA